CCTCCGTGCAGTCCTGCCTGAAATACTCCTTGATGTACAGGCACCCCCTTTGTTGATTTTAGCTCCCTGAAGCCAACCCTGTAAGCCGTGTCGTCAGTCGCCCCTCCCTCCGTCAGAGCAACGGCAGATAATCGTTCCGCGCCTTTTTTCTGTGCGGACGCCATACCACGGCAAGCATGGAGCCCGCTCAGCTCACTTTGGCAATTAGGAGCACATTAACCACCACACGCATTATTCAGCAGTATATGCAGCACCAGAACATGGCAACGCGATACCGGGCGAGGAGGCGACGTCAGCGCGGTCCCGTGAGTGATCAGGACATGGACACAGATTTCTCTGAAAGCATGGGCCCTGCCAATGCATGCATCATGGTGCTAATGGGGCAGGTTCATGCTGTGGAACGCCGATTCTGGGCTCGGGAAACAAGCACAGACTGGTGGGACCGCATAGTGTTGCAGGTCTGGGACGATTCCCAGTGGCTACGAAACTTTCGCATGCGTAAGGGCACTTTCATGGAACTTTGTGACTTGCTTTCCCCTGTCCTGAAGCGCATGAATACCAAGATGAGAGCAGCCCTCACAGTTGAGAAGCGAGTGGCGATAGCCCTGTGGAAGCTTGCAACGCCAGACAGCTACCGGTCAGTTGGGAATCAATTTGGAGTGGGCAAATCTACTGTGGGGGCTGCTGTGATGCAAGTAGCCCACGCAATCAAAGATCTGCTGATATCAAGGGTAGTGACCCTGGGAAATGTGCAGGTCATAGTGGATGGCTTTGCTGCAATGGGATTCCCTAACTGTGGTGGGGCTATAGATGGAACCCATATCCCTATCTTGGCACCGGAGCACCAAGCCGCCGAGTACATAAACCGCAAGGGGTACTTTTCGATAGTGCTGCAAGCTCTGGTGGATCACAAGGGAGGTTTCACCAACATCAACGTGGGATGGCCGGGAAAGGTGCATGATGCTCGCATCTTCAGGAACTCTGGTCTGTTTCAAAAGCTGCAGGAAGGGACTTTATTCCCAGACCAGAAAATAACTGTTGGGGATGTTGAAATGCCTATATGTATCCTTGGGGACCCAGCCTACCCCTTAATGCCATGGCTCATGAAGCCGTACACAGGCAGCCTGGACAGTGGTCAGGAGCTGTTCAACTACAGGCTGAGCAAGTGCAGAATGGTGGTAGAATGTGCATTTGGACGTTTAAAGGCGCGCTGGCGCAGTTTATTGACTCGCTTAGACCTCAGCGAAACCAATATTCCCACTGTTATTACTGCTTGCTGTGTGCTCCACAATATCTGTGAGAGTAAGGGGGAGACGTTTATGGCGGGGTGGGAGGTTGAGGCAAATCGCCTGGCTGCTGGTTACGCGCAGCCAGACACCAGGGCGGTTAGAAGAGCACAGGAGGGCGCGGTACGCATCAGAGAAGCTTTGAAAAACAGTTTCATGACTGGCCAGGCTACGGTGTGAAAGTTCTGTTTGTTTCTCCTTGATGAAACCCCCGCCCCTTGGTTCACTCTACTTCCCTGTAAGCTAACCACCCTCCCCTCCTCCCTTTAATCATTGCTTGCAGAGCCAATAAAGTCATTGCTGCTTCACAGTCATGCATTCGTTATTCATTCATCACACAAATAGGGGGATGACTACCAAGGTATCCCAGGAGGGGTGGTGGAGGAGGGAAGGAAAATGCCACACAGCACTTTAAGCACAGCACTTTAAAAGTTTACAACTTTAAAATTTATTGAATGACAGCCTTCTTTTTTTTGGGCAATCCTCTGTGGGGGAGTGGCTGGTTGGCCGGAGGCCTCCCCACCGCGTTCTTGGGCGTCTGGGTGTGGAGGCTATGGAACTTGGGGAGGAGGGCGGTTGGTTACAGAGGGGCTGCAGTGGCAGTCTGTGCTCCAGCTGCCTTTGCTGCAGCTCAACCATACACTGGAGCATACTGGTTTGGTCCTGCAGCAGCCTCAGCATTGAATCCTGCCTCCTCTCATCACGCTGCCGCCACCTTTGAGCTTCAGCCCTGTCTTCAGCCCGCCACTTACTCTCTTCAGCCCGCCACTTACTCTCTTCAGCCCTCCACCTCTCCTCCCGGTCATTTTGTGCTTTCCTGCACTCTGACATTATTTGCCTCCACGCATTCGTCTGTGCTCTGTCAGTGTGGGAGGACAGCATGAGCTCGGAGAACATTTCATCGCGAGTGCGTTTTTTTTTCTTTCTAAGCTTCACTAGCCTCTGGGAAGGAGAAGATCCTGTGATCATTGAAACACATGCAGCTGGTGGAGAAAAAAAAAGGGACAGCGGTATTTAAAAAGACACATTTTATAAAACAGTGGCTACACTCTTTCAGGGTAAACCTTGCTGTTAACATTACATACATAGCACATGTGCTTTCGTTACAAGGTCGCATTTTGCCTCCTCCCACCGCGTGATTTTGGTTGAATGCCAGCAAACATACACTGCAATGCTTTGTTCTACAGTGATTCCCCAGTACGTGTTGCTGGCCTGGAGTGGTAAAGTGTCCTACCATGAAGGACGAAATAAGGCTGCCCTCCCCAGAAACCTTTTGCAAAGGCAGAACCGCAAATGCCAGGGCAAAGTAATCCTTTCACATGCTTGCTTTTAAACCATGTATAGCATTTTAAAAGGTACACTCACCAGAGGTCCCTTCTCCGCCTGCTGAGTCCAGGAGGCAGCCTTGGGTGGGTTCGGGGGGTACTGGCTCCAGGTCTAGGGTGAGAAACAGTTCCTGGCTGTCGGGAAAACCGGTTTCTCCGCTTGCTTGCTGTGAGCTATCTACAACCTCCTCATCATCATCTTCTTCGTCCCCAAAACCTACTTCTGTATTGCCTCCATCTCCATTGAAGGAGTCAAACAACACGGCTGGGGTAGTGGTGGCTGAACCCCCTAAAATGACATGCAGCTCATCATAGAAGCGGCATGTTTGGGGCTCTGACCCAGAGCGGCTGTTCGCCTCTCTGGTTTTCTGGTAGGCTTGCCTCAGCTCCTTCAGTTTCACGCGGCACTGCTTCGGGTCCCTGTTATGGCCTCTGTCCTTCATGCCCTGGGAGATTTTCAGAAAGGTTTTGGCATTTCGAAAACTGGAACGGAGTTCTGATAGCACGGATTCCTCTCCCCAAACAGCGATCAGATCCCGTACCTCCCGTTCAGTCCATGCTGGAGCTCTTTTGCGATTCTGGGACTCCATCATGGTCACCTCTGCTGATGAGCTCTGCATGGTCACCTGCAGCTTGCCACGCTGGCCAAACAGGAAATGAGATTCAAAAGTTCACGGTTCTTTTCCTGTCTACCTGGCCAGTGCATCTGAGTTGAGAGCGCTGTCCAGAGCGGTCAGAATGGAGCACTCTGGGATAGCTCCCGGAGGCCAATACCATCGAATTGTGTCCACAGTACCCCAAATTCGAGCCGGCAACATCGATTTAAGCGCTAATCCACTTGTCAGGGGTGGAGTAAGGAAATCGATTTTAAGAGCCCTTTAAGTCGAAATAAAGGGCTTCATTGTGTGGACGGGTGCAGGTTTAAATCGATTTAACGCTGCTAAATTCGACCTAAAGTCCTAGTGTAGACCAGGGCAAAGAAATCATAATCTAACACATACCTAGCTAGATTACTTACTAAAAGTTCTAAGACTCCATTCCTGGTCTATCCCCAACAAAAGCAGCATATAGACAGACCCACAGACCCTTTGTTTCTCTCCCTCCTCCCAGCTTTTGAAAGTATCTTGTCTCCTCATTGGTCATTTTGGTCAGGTGCCAGCGAGGTTACCTTTAGCTTCTTAACCCTTTACAGGTGAGAGGAATTTTCCTCTGGCCAAGAGGGATTTTAAAGGGGTTTACCCTTCCCTTTATATTTATGACAAATACCAGATGCATGTGTGGTGGTATGCACAATCTCTGAGCACCAATTACTGTGACTGCATACACAAAATGGGTAATTGTGTATGCAAATTTGACTAATTAACCATGTATATGCCCAGCTACTAGGTTTCCATGTGAAGTCATGGCAATTGTATGTGCAGATTAAACATACAATTGTACTTTAATGTCACATGTCTACATTTGGAAACCTGTCCCAGTATTTGTAGTGGCCGAAACAGCAAAGGTAAAGTTGTATAGTAAGTTGAAGTTTGTGTTCTTTCATCATTCCTTTTCTGTTGTGACTCAGCTTGTCACCTGTGATGATCAACGTTTTGTGTTTGTCAAGATGCAGTACAGTACTTTGTGTTGCAGCACATTGTGCCATATCTTATGGCGTAACCTATGATAAGAAGCTCTCTGCTTCTTCAGTGGGGAAAACCCCTTGTGCTATGCTATACATGTTTGCCATAACATATTTCCTTGTGATACAATGTATCAAAGTCTTCTGAAGCCTGTCACAGAGAATTCGTAATAGGAAATCCTTAACAATTATCCATGGTTAATTAGTGACACAGAACATGAATGAGCAACCATCTACCCACCATCCTTTTGTGCTACCTGAATCAAACAATTTAGAGTTTCATGAGACTTGATTATTCAGTGCTTTGTTTATTCAGACATGTAGATATTCAAAAGATGCACGATATTTACTCATCATCCCATTCTGTTTCATATAATAATATTTAGCTTTTATAAAATGGCTTTCATCCAAAGATCTAAAAGTACTTTACAGAGAGAGGTAAGTATCTTCATCCACATTTTTCAGATGGGGAAATTGAGTTACAGAAAGGTGAACTGAGTTGTCCAAGGGGACATAGCAAGTCAGGGGCAGAACTGGGAACAGAGTCCAAATCTCCTAACCCCAAATCCAACATGCTATCCAGTGGGCCATGCTGTTTCTCAGGAAAAACTTGGGAAAAGAAGCAAGTAACTCAGTATGAGTGATGGCACTGAAATACTGTGTACATTTCAAATAAAGAAGATCTCATATAAGTCTAATTATGGTTTTTTTTCTTCTTCTTCCCCTCTTTTGGACATTTTCTTCATCTGACTGCCCATCAATGTTTAGAAGAAATGCATATTCCTACTCCTATTACTTGTAAGTACCTAGCTGGAGATGACTTTTCTTGAGCATGCTCATTATAGTGGTACTGAGGGGGTGGGGTGTTGTATGTGGTTTTCTCCTTTATCAGTTGCTTTTTTTTTTTACCATTTCACTGATCTTTATTCTGCAAACTGCCTGCATTTTTATTTCTTCATTTTCATACTATTTTTTTCATTGTTTCACGCATTGTACCCACACACGTCTCTTCAGAACAAGTAAGTATTCACAGAAGTGTCAGTGTACAATTACAACTCTCCACATGCAGGAGTGCAAGTGGAGAAGATCTACATTGTCTCCTTTTTGATAGTTCAGTCCTCTGTATCCAGATTCTTGGAAATTCACATCTAAGAACTATTGGTTGGATTTGCTTTGTCTTGGGCACAAACTACTTTAAAATATAATCAATTTCCCACCTGGCCTACCCTGGTCTTTGTATACATTTCTGATTTAGGGTACCAGGGCCAGACTTTAACCCAGAAAATATTCCAATCTTAAGCCAGACCTGTAACATGCTGGGTTTCAATCGAGATCATTTGATGTTTACATGGTTCAGAGTTTTAATCCAAACTTGCTGCCCAGCCCCAGCAACTACAGTACACATTGAAGTCAGTTGTTAATGCTAGTGAAAATGGTTCACAGGTACCACACATCCAGGGCATGCCTGTGTGGCAGTTATTGCGTATGCCAAAGGAGTCTCACTTACACAAACTATTTACCTTCTTTGACTTCAGGGAGAGTTAGTCTCTTTGATACATGAGCTGAATTTGACCCCCCAAGGGCTATATTCTACTCTTGGATATTTAGGTGTAAATCCAGAGTAACAACATAGATTTTAGAGCTAATTCAGATGCACACAGGTATAACTGAGAATAGAATTTGATCCAAAGCACTGAGAATTATGGACATAAATTAAAGTGGGATGGAGGCTGCTTTATCTTACAACTTCCAGCTAGTTTTAGTCCTCGCTACAGCCCCTCCTCCTCACCAGGTAAGTTACTCACTTAGCACACCTTTGGAATGTCAGAAAAGCTCAGGTTGCCTTATTTTGCTTATTTTATTTATTTTCACCTATTTATACCAAATTTATGATCAACAGTCTATGAATTTGGCCCATGGTCTTCTATGAAAACTGTACCCTCTTACTCCAGACTACATATGACAGAAATTTGTCCATTTCATAACTTGAGTTTTACATATTCAGAAATCTGTGGGCCTAACTCTGGGCTCTCCTATGACTGTTTTCATGGCTGATCCATAATGTTGGTTTAAACAGCCAATGGAAGATTACTTGACCACAGGAACAGCGTGGGGGTGACAACACAATCCCTTTGCCATCCTTTCATAATCTCTGAAAAAGGGACATGTCAGGGGTGTTTTCAGAAACAGGGGACGTTTCAAGAACAGCTTCTGGAATAGCCCCTTGGGCCCATGGTAGCTGGCACAATTTAGAGCAAGGTTGCCCTAACTTGCAGCAAAGGCAGAAACAGGCATCAGGAAGCTGCAAAGGTGGCTTAGTCCTTGCACCTCCACCCCCAATTTTCAGCTCCACTAAACAGAGCTTGATGACATCTGAGGATTAAACCTCACATATTAATGTATGGTTGACAGTGTGGCACACAGGAAGTGGGGAGAGAAGTTAGGCTTCTCTCATCCACAGCTCAAATCTGAGAACAGTAGGAATGTCTTGAAGCATCATAGACTATCAAGTCAGCATAGACAGCTGTGTATAGCCTCCTTTTGGGGGGCTTCAACTCCCCTGAATTTCACTTTTGGTTCAAAATGAAACTTGGCCAAAACAAGGTCTTGTTGTTGTTAGTCACCATCATTATTTGAACAGTGCAAAGGGCATGGAGGATACTTTATAGAAAAAGGAAAAAGGCGAGTCTTTCTGTGCCTCAAGGCTCATACAGTTAAGTTTTACCTGGTTTCAGATTTCAAGTTAAAGCCACATGAAAGGGTGAGCTTTGCATGGGTACAGAATAGGATCAAAAATCAACCAAGTTTTGCTCAATACTGAGCTCAGCCTCATACAAATCACAACACGTTTTGACAAATTTAGTATGAATTTCGTATCCGGATCCCAAACTGACCCAGTTTCACCTGTTGTGGGGTTTCATTGCCAATATCCTGCACAGCTCTAGTGAGTTGTGCGGGTTCCAAATAATGGTCTTGTTTTGTGAATTTGAAAAAAAGGGTAGCCCCGCTACTGGATAATCCCTAAACTCACTTCCCTGGATATAGAAGCTGTTGTACTGATAGCACTTTCCAGACTCCAGTAAACCAGAGTTAAGCCCTGGGGATCTTCTTTCTTCCAGTAAAATTCTGCAGAATATCTTGGTGCCACAAACATGCACATTTCTCATGGAAATCCATAGCTCCTTTTTAAAGTGAATACAATTGTTACAGTACATTTTAATTTTTCTTTTTGGCAAATTATCCAGAAGCATGAAAGCAAGTCTTCGGAGGAATAGGTATGGGCTCCAGGTGGACAAGGACTGCCTGAAAGGACTGCACTTAATTTGACTGACTATTTTACCTCTTGGACAGCTTACAAAGAAAATAGTTTATTTTCAAGTTTAGAGAAAACAAACAAACAACAGCCATAATTTTTTAAAAATGAAACTGGTTCCTAGTCAAGACCTTGTGTGCCAAGTTTTAAACCTGAAGCAAATGTGAACGGGATGAGTTATCACTCCTGAAAAACAGGTTTTCAAATAAATCTGCTGACAGATCCTTAAACACAACTGCATTGACTGGGCTTCTGAAACATACATTATTTGTGGTTTCCATTTCTCAAATTCACCTCTGTACTTCTTGGAATAATTCTTTTCTTTTTCTTTTAAATCGTTGTTTTAACCCTTCCTCAGCTACTTGCCTGAAGTTTCTTTTCGTTAAGGGCCCAAATCCACAGCCAACCTCATGCTGGGTAGTACTTCCTCACCAGTATAGTCTCATTGAAGTCACTGAATAACTGCAACTTACTGTGAACTTTTGCAGAATTGGGCCATAAGTGTTGCAATAGCTCTTAAAGTCCAGTCTCTGGCCTTGGATTCTAACAGATCTTATTGCAAACAGCTAAAGCACCTGATTCTGCAAGATGGCCAAATACCTTCTCAATTCCCATTGAAGCCAATGATAGTTGCAGGTACTCATTCCTTTGCAGGAGGAGCTTTACATGTCATGGAATAGGGTCGTAGTGAGCTGGGGGGAAAGAGTAACAATAAGGAGAATCATAGAATCATAGAATATAAGGGTTGGAAGGGACCCCAGAAGGTCATCTAGTCCAACCCCCTGCTCAAAGCAGGACCAATTCCCAGTTAAATCATCCCAGCCAGGGCTTTGTCAAGCCTGACCTTAAAAACCTCTAAGGAAGGAGATTCTACCACCTCCCTAGGTAACGCATTCCAGTGTTTCACCACCCTCATAGTGAAAAAGTTTTTCCTAATATCCAATCTAAACCTCCCCCACTGCAGCTTGAGACCATTACTCCTCGTTCTGTCATCTGATACCATTGAGAACAGTCTAGAGCCATCCTCTTTGGAACCCCCTTTCAGGTAGTTGAAAACAGCTATCAAATCCCCCCTCATTCTTCTCTTCTGCAGCCTAAACAATCCCAGCTCCCTCAGCCTCTCCTCATAACTCATGTGTTCCAGACCCCTAATCATTTTTGTTGCCCTTCGCTGGACTCTCTCCAATTTATCCACATCCTTCTTGAAGTGTGGGGCCCAAAACTGGACACAGTACTCCAGATGAGGCCTCACCAATGTCGAATAGAGGGGAACGATCACGTCCCTCGATCTGCTCGCTATGCCCCTACTTATACATCCCAAAATGCCATTGGCCTTCATGGCAACAAGGGCACACTGCTGACTCATATCCAGCTTCTTGTCCACTGTCACCCCTAGGTCCTTTTCCGCAGAACTGCTGCCTAGCCATTCGGTCCCTAGTCTGTAGCTGTGCATTGGGTTCTTCCGTCCTAAGTGCAGGACCCTGCACTTATCCTTATTGAACCTCATCAGATTTCTTTTGGCCCAATCCTCCAATTTGTCTAGGTCCTTCTGTATCCTATCCCTCCCCTCCAGCGTATCTACCACTCCTCAGAAACGACACATTTTTTAGGTGTCCTCTTTATGCATCTGAACATTATTACTCGTTATCTGTTGAGTGCTGACTCAGTGCTCAAATGGGCACCCTGTGGTAAATTGGGATTTTTGTATGGCAACTCCTCATTGAAAGATCAGACAGAGAAAGTTGAGTGGGATACTGTATTGTTCTGAAGGGGAGCCCACCTGAACTAGTGGTTAAACAGAGGTCTCAAAGCAGGAGACCGAGGTCTGTTCTACATTCTGCTACTCTGGGTGATCTTGGAAGATTCACTTAATTTCTCTGTATCTCAATTTTCCCTTCTGTCAAATAGTTAGTTATTGCAGATGCTTTGAGGTCATTGGACACATTGTGCTCTACGAATGGAAAGTAGTTTTAATATGATAGGGGAAGGGAAAGATAAAGGGTTGTGAACCCCTGCCTCTTGATGATTGAACCACTGAATACATCATTGCTACCCACATGATCCAGGCAGTATTTCAAAGGAGTTACTCTGGATTTATATTCGTATAAATTAGAAGAAGTTGTCTCAAGTTTCTTATAGCATTGCTAGCTCTGTCACACTGCATATATGTAGTATTTTTTCTGGTCTTGTTAAATACATAATGTACTGTTGTGCTGTTTGTTTTTGAATATATACCATAACATACCTGAGGGGTGTCATGTGGCTTAGTTAACATTGCAGTAGAAGCCCTACATTTTTCATTTCTTTACTTTCTACCGTTTTAGCTAAACAGTCTTAATATTGCATTAATGTCAGTTTTGCATTTAATACCAGGCACTTGCTTTAATCATTTATTCATCATTCAGTAGTTTTCATTGCACAAACATTCATAAAGGTTTTATTTATACCCAAACTAGTGAAAAGAATAAAGGTGTTGATTTTGTTG